CCCCCCAAAGCATGTCCTCAGTGAAGATAAGAAAGAGAAAACTAAAACTTGTTTACCTACCTCTGTGGGCTCTGATGGCTGACTAGGGGGCCTTAGTCAAGTCTTTATTTCTCACTTTCATGTTCTCCATTCCTCACTTCGTGGCCAGTTGTGTCTATGTCTAGACAGCTGTGGACAGGCTGTGCATGCTCATCATGCGCATCCATATAGTTAAATTGGTTATTCTTGTTCGAATCATTCAAATGTTTCTAAAACCAAGCCAGAGCTTTGTGACCTGGTTCCTTTTTTTTTTTTTTTTTTTAATCCTCCCCTGAGGATATTTTTTCCATTGCTTTTCAGAGAGAGTGGAGGGGGAGGACATTGATGTGAGAGAGAGACATCGATTGGTTGCCTCCCGCACACGCACCAACCAAGGCTGGGGATCAAGCCTGCAACAGCAGAGGTACGCGCCCTTGACCAGAATCGAACCTCAGACCCTTCCATATGTGGGCTGACGCTCTAACCACTGAGCCAAACCAGCCAGGGCCTGGTTCACTTTTAGGGTAGCCTCTTCAGAGAGTTCTACTAGAAGTTCAAGATCATGACGTTATTTTTATGCTAGAATTTGGCTAGGCCCTCGGAGTTTTTCATACAGGAATTTGCCCTTATCAGCTAAAGTGTAAGTCAGGGTGTGCATCGTGTTTGCTGAGGAATCCTATACCTTTGCCTTCAGCCCAGGAAAGGAATCTAGAAGCAGTTTAGACTGCTCACTAAAAACTGCTGCTGGGGCTAGTCAGGATATCGCCAGTAGCAAATAATTATCTTATCCTTATATTAAAAGCTATGATGCCCTGGCCAGTGTGGCCCAGTGGTTAGGCTGTTAGGTCTTTATAAGAGAGAAGCAGACATTCATTCAGAGTCAAAGATTTGATGGCAGAAGCAGAGGTCACAGTGATGCAGTCATTAGCTAAGGAATGTAGGTGCCCTTGGGATGCTGGAAAAGGCAAGGATAGGATTCTCCCCTAAAGCCTCCAGAAAGAATCAATCCTGCTGACCCATTGTAGACTTCTGACCTATAAAATCATAGATCTGTGTTGTGGTAAGCCACAAGCTTGTGTAACTTGTTACAAGGGCAGTAGGAAACTAATACTGTAGCCAAACTTGGGACACATCTCTAGTTTTGACTTGGGATATAAGGACAGCCCATACCAGAGGGCAGAGAGGGAGATGTCCGAGTGGGCAGAGATGAGGGTTACCTTGAGGACACACTCAAGAGGCTGGTCTTTGATAGGAAACAAAGGCTGAGAGGGCTACACTAAAGGGAAGACTAATCTAGAGAGTGCGGCCAAATGCTACATTTTAAAGCTAGGCTATGCCCTTTGGTGCTACATGGAGATTAAGTTTTTTAAAAAATGAAAGAAACTGCTGCTGTAAGCAGCAATAGAAAGTTTCTAGAACCCATTCCTTTAAGGGGTAACGGAGGCAAAATATAAGTAATTTTGGAGTCATTTGTAGCAAAAAGTTACAGTGAAAGAGCCATTATAAATATTTTGGAGACATAGCCCTAATCTTTTGGGTAGATGACCAAAACATCTAATTGGTTCAATAAGCCTTGGTTTTGACCCAATATGGTAATTTGTGAGCTCTTAGGAGGCCAGAATTATTCTAATCCTCATGTGAGCCAGGGAACCTTGAACTGTAACCATCTTGTAATGTCTGCTTTTAGTCATAAAGGAGACTGAAGTCCAAACCAGAATTCAAGAAAAAGAGCCATAGGACTATATTAAACAAAAAATGAAAAAGAAAAAAGAAAAACCTTTTTAACCAATTAATTCACTATGAAAAAAATGAGTATCAATTTTTCTTCCTCTGCAGACTGAGAACAGAATTTATTGCAGTGTATTATTAAAATTCCATTATGGCAAAACAGTTAGGATAAGCTTTTGTTTTCAGTAATGGTATTAGACCTGCAGGAATCTAAATCCGATGAGAGAAGAGTGGCATTATAAAACAGACTAAAAAACTTTCAAAGCCGGCCACCGTGCTCCCATTTAAAAGCATGCCGCAGGTAATTGAGTGTGTGTGCGTGCTCTCTTGCGAGCATCGCTGCCTGCATCTGCCCACCTGTATGTGTGCACCTGTTTACCTCACACTCGAGTATGAAGGGTTTTTCATGGTATGTTGCCACAAATACCGAAGTATAGTGTAAAAAGCCTTGGTTTCAAAAGAGACTTAGATGCCCATCTGGGTTCTGCTACCTGGCTGTGCAAACTTAGAACCTCTGAGCTTTAGTTTGCTTATCCGGGAAGGATTGATTTCAGTAATCTTAAGTATTTTTCAAGCCCTAGAATGCCTCAGTTCTTTATATTGTAAGAGAAGGTGAATAAAGATGGCCTTCTCTCCCCATAGCACCGCACCTGTTCAATATGCCTCAGCATTGGGGCCTTCCAAAGGGACTTAGCAAGAAGTTCATTCCTCGTGTCTAGCCCCACCCCTTCTGGCCTTTACAAGGTCCACATATGGGAAGATGCCCCACCTCAGTGAGAGTGAGGGGCCCGTGCTCTTCTGTGCTCTCTCTGGCCTCACATGGATCGTGGAAAGCAAGTTGGTGTGACCTTTTTTCTGTGAACACCCATTTCATTATTGTAGCCCTTTTTCTGGGGGAAGGATACAGGTTTATATGGTGCCTAGTCCCAGCATTTGGGAGGGAGGGGGTCTCCTGTGTTTATTAAGACTTGACACTTAAGGGGAAATTATTTATCTTCCCAATTTTTGTTCCTTTTTCAGATTGATTCATGGTGCAAAGATAATAGCTATGTGATTGCTGGTTATTACCAAGCTAATGAACGAATAAAGGATGCCAGGTATGTTCGTGCAAAAACCCTCTGTGGTCTGAAAGAATGATCGTGTGATAGACAAAGACATCTCTGATGTGCATTTTAACCTTCTGTAGGCGCAAGATGCCAAATCTGTGAGAACGAAACCCCTCCCCCCCTCTGTGCTTGTTTATAGTATTTGAGGGGAACTGTGGAGTGAATAATTTCAAACAACAGAAAGTCTAAACATTTATATTAACTTTGGGATTCTGTTTTGTATCTTCTTTATTTTGCTTGAAGAAAATTCATGCAGTGAAAGCAATAGTCATGGACCTCCAGTTTCTATCCCCACTCAGCTCTGCCTTACTTCCCATTCCCGAACAAGGAATGATGTAGGACAGAACATTAGGAAAGAATACCACCCTCCTTGGGGATAATTAAAACAACTTTTAGATTTGGTGCTCTGTGATGAAAATATGGTGTGTGTTGCTTCCTTCATATTGGCTCCTGGTTCCTTTCTCATTAATGAACAAAGTGGAGTACTCTGCTTTAGATCTGCCTCAGTCCCAACAGAAAAATAGATGGCACACTATAATTAGGATAATTTGAGGAGGGCTGGATAAGCAGATTGCTTCCAAAGGTGTGGGAGGTATGTAAGAGGCCTCACAAGAGAGTAGTGCAGTAACCCAAAGGTGGCAGCAGAAGCCAGTCACCTGGGCCTGATAGGACAGGGAGGAAAGTTGAATAAAGAAGTCCACCTCTGGAAGGGATTAAGATGTACAAATTTCCGGTTATAAAAACAGTCACAGGGATGTAAAGTACAGCATAGAGAATGTAGTCTGTACTATTACAATAACTGTGTGGTGTCAGGTGAGTACTTTACTTAATGGGCTGATCACTTTGTAAGTTATATAAATGTCCAATCACTATGTTGTACACCTGCTTCTAATATAATGTATGTCAGTGGTAATAGAAATAAGCCAATCAGAGAAAGACAAGTATCATATGATCTTACTTATATGGGGAATCTAATCAACAAAATAGATCCAGAGACATAGAAGCATGGAACAGACTGACGAATCTCAGAGGGAAGGCAGGGGTAGAGGGGTGGGAAGAGATTAACCTAAGAACTTATGTACACATGTGCATAATCCATGGACACAGACAGTAGTGTGGTGAAGGCCTGGGGGGGTACAGGGTGGAGGGGATCAATGGGGAGAAAAGGGGTCATTTGTAATACTTTCAACAATAAAGATAAATTAAAACAGAAAAAAGAAAGAAAAAAGAAGTCATCCTTAAGAGGAAGAATGCCCTTTGGTTGAGGGACATGGCCAGCAACTGGCCAGATGTGACCACATAAGAAGAGGCCCAACGGAGTCATTCCCTGACCTCCCTCTGAGTTCCTCCAGCCAGGAACCAGGGCAGATGGAAAGTCAGGAGCACAGTATGTAACGGGAAGCACTGACATGCTTTCCTCACATTGACTAACTCCAGTGTCCAGGCAGTGAGGAGATGCAGTCAAGTACCTCAGACCGAAACTCCTCCTGAAAATATGTCCACTTGCCCAGCATAGGCAAGAGGTTGGACTCCAATAGTATTTTTGGAAATAATGCAATAAGCTGGTGACCAAATATTGCTATTACTGATGAGACACAAGGTACTGCAGGGACTTAAACCCTCCTACCCTTGGAGGACTGGGTCCAGTAGGGATTCTGAGGGAAACAGAGTAACAAGCGAAACACTGGGTTCAAAACAACTATTGAAGCCTCCCCCAGGATGACAGTGCATAGGCACTCTCTGAGCCCTGGTTCCTTAGCTTCTCCCACTACCTTTCTGTTCTTTCTCAGAACCCAGAGCACCCCTCATTTCTCCTCCTCAGGTGCATCTGTGACTAACCTCACTCCTTCTAGGACCTCCTCTCCATTCAATTCTATCCACCTCCCATGTATTGATGGCTCAATGTTAGCATTCCCATCTCTGATCTAGAGCCTATTCATGGGGCCCATCTCAGGCTTGGTCTTTGACTAGGCACAGAATGCCCTCCCTGAGCAGCCAAGCTCTGTGCTGAGCAAAGCTAAAGACTCTTGGCCTTGCCTGCAGGTTGCTGGGTTGAATATGAAAGATATTGCCAACACAGGACTAACAGAAAATAACAGGCCAGTTGTCATGAGGGTGGTGCAGAGGACCGTGACAGCAGGAGCAGGGAGGAGTTGCATCTGTTAGTCTGACCAGAGGAGCCCACAGGGAAGGGAGTCATTGGAATTGGGCACTCAAGAGTAGACAGGGTCTTGTCAAGTGGGGACCGGGAAGGAAGAGCTTTTCAAGAGGGGACAACATGATGAAGACACCAGCTGGAAAAGAGGGCTGGGCCATGGGGTGCACACACAGACAAAATGCTACCAGTGGAGTCTGGAAAGGTAGGGAGAGGCATACCCAGGGCTCTAAGGTATTTTGAACTTTATTTTGTGAGCAGTGGGGAGCTACCCTTGGAAGGAGGGTTTTCCTGAACCAAGCAGTTCTTTCCCACAGCTACTCTTGAAGAAAGGAGAGGGGACTAGGCAAGAGGTAAGGTCCCTGGCTTGTCAAGTGAGTGTAGATACCTCCCCTTCCTTTATTTCCTGCCCCTACCCCCAAGTCCATGCCCTTACATGGTCACCCCTAGTGTACCTGCACAGGGTCTCTTGTCTTCATGCTTCATTTGGCTCATGGCCTCTCCATCTTCCTGCCTCTATTCAGACCTTTTTTAGCTCAGCCTGGAATTATCTTACTCAGGCACCATTTTCATGCTATTTATATCTTCTAAATGCCCTGCTTCCTTTACCTGCTATATGCTCAGGAGGTTTTGCATTCCCCCATTGATGTCAATATTTAAGTACCTACTAACCAACCATTTCTCAGATCCATAGAGAAAATAAAACATTAGCAGGGGTGGGGGGTAGAGATGCCCAGTAACTCTTTAGTTCCTTCTTTTTTTTTTTTTTAAATATATCTTTATTGATTTCAGAGAGAGGAAAGGAGAGAGAGAGAGCTAGAAACACCAATGATGAGAGAGTCATTGATCGGCTGCAGCCCGCAACTCGGGCATGTGCCCTGACCGGGAATCGAACCCTGATCGCCTGGATCCTAGGTCGACGCTTAACCGTTGAGCCACGCCCAGCCGGGCTTTAGTTCCTTCTGATGAGCCTGTCTCTGCTCTACTTCAGGATTTCATCCATCCCTCTGACATGCTGGTGCTGTGTTGGGAGTAAACCTGGAGTCCCTAACACTGTACCCAGCCTAGGGCTTCACTGGTGTTGTCCTATCTAATTCTCACCAGGATGCTCAGGTACAGAAACTCCAGCCAGAGGTGGTTCCCGCACAAAGGCTACACCACACGGAAACTCAGGAGCTTGGGACATGCCAGCTTTCTTCAGCACTATTTGCTCTACCTGAGAATCTTCCCTTTTCTTTTCAGCCAGACCTAGCTGAAAATATGCTCTTCTTTTAGAAATACCAGCTGATTAATGGTGTCTCACAGCATAGGCTTTGGAGCCAGAGGAACTTGGGTTCAAACCTAGGTGACTTACTGATTCACCTCCTTGGCCTCAGTGTCCTATCTGTAAAATGGAGCTAGCAGCGAGTGGTTGTGAAGGTAGAGTGAAGCAACGAGCAGCATTTTACCTTTGCGCTTGGTTCAGAGTAGGAGCTGGTGCCATTACTAGTCCTATGGTCACTTTATTCAAAAAAAGGATCATTCGGTGCTTTAACATTTTATAAAAGAAATGTTAAGGTGTTTGTAACTGTTTTATTCATTTCCTAAACTTGAGGTTTTTACATTGTTTCATTATGTCATGTCATAATTACTGGTGTTTTGCTTCATAATCAGCATTTCATGTGGGTAAATTTCAGTACCAGGCACTGTGCCCTGGCCTGAGATAGATAATAAAAAGTTTTTAGATACAAAATGTAAAAATGCGCCCGGCCGGGTGTGGCTCAGCACTTGAGCATCGACCTAGGATCCAGGCGATCAGGGTTTGATTCCCGGTCAGGGCACATGCCCGGGTTATGGGCTCGATCCCCAGTCGGGGGCTTGCAGGAGGCAGCTGATCAATGACTCTCATCGTTGATGGTTCTATCTCTCTCTCTCCCTCTCCTTTCCTCTCTCTGAAATCAATAAAGATATATTTTAAAAATTAAAAAAAATGTAAAAATGTAAGATCTCAGTTAGGAGTAAATGCCTAGCTTTGTACTGGTTGGGAAGGGGCTTAGCAAAGTGGTCTCTGTCTCCAGGGTTCCTGCAATTTTATTTGGCAGCTGACTCTTCACGGGAACAGGAGTTGAAATTACCTGGTAGAAAAACAAAGTACTGACTTTAATATCATAATGCAACAGTCTTACATTAAGAATGAGGTAGGTCAGTATTTGAGACTAAGTGCAAAATACAAAAAACTAAACAAAATTGGCCATTCTTTCAAATACTTTGGCAATTTATTAACTCAATTTTTTTTTAAACTTCTTTCAAAAGAATGAGTTTTAAATTTGAGTTCTTGGGCATCTGAAATGGTAGCTTTTATTTTTAATGAATGTTTCTTGACTCCCCTTCCCAGTAGAAGTCACCAACTACTATGATAATCATAAGTGTTAGGATAATGGTTTTGTTACTTTCTTCATGGTACATGCTTACAGGTCCTTAGAGGATCATGCACTTAGCAAATGCCAGCTTCTTTTCCCTTTGCACCTGAGGTGTAGGTGAGTCAGGACCAGTAACGATGCAGAGCAGTCAGGGTGTCTCTTCCACATTTGGTGGACAAATAGGCAGCCCTGTTCCTGCTCCTCTCCGGTTCCCATTTGAGCTGTGGGAACTTGGCCCCTGTGTTCAGTGAAGCACTGCTTTCCGTGCCGACCTGAAAGACAAGAATCTCTGGGCCTCTTTCATTTTTAAACTTTTTTATTTTCATTTTTCTTAACACAATACTGCAGACTTATAATCAGCATATCACTACAAATTCTCAATTTTGAAAGTGAAAATAGAATAAATAGATACTATAAAACATTTATTCTGTGTTTTGTTTGTTTTTTCAGTTTAATCACAAGGAAAGAATTGTAATTGTGTGTTTCTTTAAATAAATTCAAAATAATGAATGTATTTTCATGGCCATTAAAATACATTTTGGGGGGGGATACCCTGTTTATAGCTCAGTCCCTGCTTCAAAAAGCTGAGATTCTAATTGTGTGGGGAAAACAAGATGCAGAAAAAGACAACCGCATGCCAAAGATTAAGTGTCAAAGCCTTAAGAAGTAAACAGTGTTTAGAGAAGGGACAAATAGACCTCATCTGGGCAGCGTGGCAAGTCCTCCCAGAAAGGGGGTCGTTTTCTAGGCATTAAAGATGGGAATGAGTTCAGTAAGCAAAGATTAGTATGGGAGGGCATTCCAAACGGAACAGTATGAGGGAGGAAGGTGATATATAGACAGTTTTACTGAATAAGTAAATAAGTAGGTCACTTACTGAATAAAGACACACAGAGCTTTGTTCCTGTGGGTAGGAATGATAGCCGTGTCCACAGTGAGAAAGGCTGAAAAAGGTGGGCTTTTATCTTACAAGCGAGTGGAGAGGGGTAGAAGTTTCATTTTAGCAAAATTGATCTAAAGAGTTTTCAGGATGTATCAGATAAGAAGAGCCTAGAAATTGAGACCAGTTAGGAAATTTTTAAAACCCATGGCTATGGTGGTATAAAATACATGACAGAGAATGAAGGAGACAGAGGCAAGGAAAGAATCTACAGCACCTGATGAGTGAGTGAAGAAAAGTGGGAAAGGTAACCTCAATCAGAGAAGCTGGACATAGGCCAACCCACCTGGACGTGGTAGGTGCCAGCTGGGAGGCCTTGGAAGGGTGGCAGGTGTTAGGTAGATTTCGAGGGTGCTAGCCCACAGAGGCAAGGGGGTAGAACCAGATTGCACAGTTGTATAAGAAAATGGAGAAGGGCGACAAGATCATTGACTTACTGAAGAAGCTTAAGAAATGTGGTTGAGCCCTGGCCAATGTGGTGTGGCTCAGTGGTTAGAGTGTCGGCCTGAGCACCAAAGGGTCTCGGGTTTGATTCCCGGTCAAGGGCATGTACCTGGGTTCCAGGTTTGTTCTCCAACCCCAGTTGGGGCATGTGTGGGAAGCAACCAGTCGATGTGTCTCAAATCAATGTTTCTCTCTCCCCTCCACCCTTTCCACTCTCTCTAAAAATATATGGAAAAAATATCCTTGGGCGAGGATTAACCAGAAAGAAAGAAAAAAAGAGAGAGAGAGAGAGAGAGAGAGAGAAAGGGGGGGGGAGTTTTTATAGGTAGGCCCCAGGAGTCCTGAAGAACATCATACCCTTTTAATATTCTTATTTGCACACATATCTATGTATTCCGGAAAAGGGTACAATGGGGGCTTTTTGTGCCCATGGAAGTATCAGAATAGGCATGAGGGGACCAGGAGATGCTGAGAATATAATAAGACATGACCAGTTGTTTTTCCCTCTGGTTACAGAGTGTGGCAGACTCAGCTTTCCTCCAGCCAATTCTCTTCCCAGCCCAGGCCTTTAGGTATGGTTGAAACAAATACTCCTTTCTCTTGTATGTTCTAGTCTAGATTATGCAAAATCCTTCAATCTGGCAGAAAAAGGCAGCTCAACCAAGATAATTATTTGCCTATGTTTTCCTGGGACTCTCCCCAGTAACACTCCCTGGAAATTCTGCCTGCCAAGACTATATAAGAACAGTGAATAACTGAGCAGAGAAGAAAACCGATATGAAAAGCGGACAGGAAGTTGCCAAAAGAGAGCTCTCTTGAATATATGCATAAAAAAACAAAAAGCACAATTAACTAACTGGTTTTCTAAAATATTAGGAAGTAATGCAATCTCTAGCTACCTGAAATTACATTAAATTAGGAGAAATAACATTAACACATTAATTTGCATAATACGAGGTCCTTATTAAGTCTACTGGATGGTGAAGTTCCACAGAACAAACTTTCTATATGTCAACATGATTTGCTCTAAGATACCAGAAACTGGAACTGAATACACTGTTGGCATCTTNAGGGAGGGAGGGAGAGAGGGAGGGAGGAAGGGAGGAAGGAAGGAAGGAAGGAAGGAAGGAAGGAAGGAAGGAAGGAAGGAAGGAAGGAAGGAAGGAAATGTGGTTGAAAAGGAGGAAGGAGGTTAGACAGTGGCTAGAGGGAACCAGTTAAATAATTTTTTTTATCCTAAATAGGAAAAGACTTACCCAGATTTGACAGGAGAGCTATCAGATTTGATGGGGAATATGAGTAAAGCCCTGAGGAGGAGGTCAGAATGGATGGGCCTGTGGGCAGGGGGGAGGAGGCCTCTTCCTGAAACAGGATAAAAAAATAACTTTGTGTATGGGGGGTAGCCAGGCATGATGTGGGAGCCACTCTGTAATTCATTTTTATTGACTTAAGGTAGAAAGTTGTCATTTATCAAGGTTGTGATGGGACAGAGCCAGAGCCAGCAATTGAAAGGTCACAAACATGAAGAACATTTGGAATGGCTTGGGAATTTTAGAAAAAAATTTTTAAAGAGAAAGCAAGCAGCTCAATTGCCAGCAGCTAAGAGGTAGACAGGGTCACTTTGGGAGCTTGCAGATGGAAAAGGCAGGCCCAGGAGGCTTCCAGCTTGGAGCTTGACACTAGCCTGGACGGTTCAGCAGCAGTCCATCTAAGTGCCGTGGATAGCACTCTCCAATGGGTCCCAGGGAGCCTTTCTATTTAGAAGATGCCTTTCAGGATCCCCTTCACAAGGGCTTCCTGGTGGGATGAGACAGGACCTGCTTTGCACTGTGCTCCCCATTGCCCTTACGGCATTCCCTGTCCTCAGCACAAGTCATTGCAGCTGGACCACTGGTCTTTTCATCATTGCTTGTTAACTTTGCTGTAGGTAGACAGTGTTGAGTGGCACTAACTAGGACGTGGTAAACCCACTGGTTCTTCTTTTGCAGTCCAAACCAGGTTGCAGAAAAGGTAGCCTCCAGAATTGCCGAGGGCTTCAGCGATACCGCTCTCATCATGGTAAGTCACTCTTGATTGGCCGTTGTGTTTTCTATCTACAGGATGGCTACTTAGCATTTCCTTGCTAACATAGAGCTTTGCTGTATATGCAGTCTTTCTTTCTGCAGACACTTCAAACCATTGCCACCTTTTGTAGTCACAGCGCATGGATATCCAGAAAGGGAGAGTCATTTCTCAAAGTGGGATCCCCATATTGGCAGCATCAGCACCAGCCGAGAATTTGTTAGAAATGCAGATTCTTGGGGCCCATCAGTCTGTGTTTTAATATGCTTCCAGATGATTCCGATGCACACTCAAGCATGGGAGCCATTCAGTTAGAATAGCCAGCATAGCCTAGAAGGAAGGAAGGAGTCAGGTAGATAAGTAGCTAACATAAGAACCTTGTTAAATAAACTCAATTCAGACAGATTTCTAACAGGAAGGAAAGAAGTAATGTTTGAAAGCTCTACTTTTGTGAAGAAACAATGAAATGGTGTTTATCCTACATAACACATAGTTGACCTTAAGCCACACTGGTGCAATTCCACACATCACATGTGCAGTGTCTGCACACTGAGGCAGGGTTTCTGCCATGGGCCATGAGGAGGTGCTGCCTTTGACTTTTTGTTAGCTCTCTTCATGACTGTCCTTTGTCTTGTGTGCAGGTAGACAACACTAAGTTTACAATGGACTGCGTGGTACCTACGATCCATGTGTACGAACACCATGAAAACAAATGGCGGTGCAGAGACCCACACTAGTGAGTGCTGTGTTCTCAGGATGACCTATGTACAGAGTATGCTGGGGCCTGTTCCCTGCTCCCAGGTCCCACAGGAAAGGGATCCCAACCTCCTGTGCTTTTCAGTTAGCCTTTTCTCCAGAGGAGCATACAACCCTCCTACAGAAATCATGTGCGTTCCTCTGCTCCTGGGCCACTGAGGCAAATAGAGCTTCAGAGCAGTAGAGGGAATCTGAGTGTTACTCAGGGTCTTCCCGCCCCAAACCCCAGGGCACCTCTCCATAAGCCAAACCCTCTTTCCTGGCATTTGGTTTGGTTTATTTGTAATCACTCAGAAAGCATTAGTCATCTACCTCCAGTTCTGTCAGCATTTTAACCATGTTGTGTATTGTTGATATACATCTTCATGTGTTTAAAATGTACATTTCCTAGTATTCGTTATATTGTCTTCCTTTATACCACTCTGCATGTGGCTGGTTTGCTGTTTGCTCTATTGAAAAGGCAGACTTTTTTTTTGTTAAGAGGCTAATTTCTCCTGTTTCACCCTGTAGTGATTACTGTGAAGACTGGCCAGAGGCCCAGAGGATCTCCGCGTCACTCCTGGATAGCCGGTCCTATGAAACGCTTGTCGATTTCGACAACCACCTGGATGACATTCGGAATGACTGGACCAATCCCGAGATCAATAAAGCTGTTCTGCACCTGTGTTAGGGAGAGATTTCAATGACTAGTCTCTGGGCATTTCCACTGGGCTGAAGAAGAAAAGCTATTTTTAAATGTAAATAAAATATCTCATTGCCTGTGTGGAAAACTGACAGTTTTCAGAAGTGGCGTGTGCCTTGAAAGAGAGCAGAATGTTCCATCAGTCATCTTTTTAATGCAGAGTCTCTAGAAGAGGTACCAACTGTCCAATCTGACCATCCCTGTGGAGTTCTTCCCAGTTGTGTGTTGCCATAATCCTCCCAATCAAAGCTGTTTCTGCTTGTCCAAGATTGTTCCTATTAAACAGTTTTAATTAACCTTTTATAATCTGGAGAGGATACTTTTTAAGACTTATGAACTATCTTTAAAAAAGCAACGACGATCATATCTTATACCTGAATGAGAGTGTTTGTGAGTTTTCATCCAGTTTGAGTTAATGTCATCCAGCCCTGGGATTGGGCCGGTGCGTAGTGTGCAGGTGCCCAGTCAGTGTCTGAGAACCTTTGTGTTGGTTGGTGTTCAGCGGTCGGAAGGCTACAGCTCTCAACAGCACTGCCCCACATGGTGTGGAGCTAATGTAGCTGCTGCAACTCTACACAGTGGGAATAAAGCCACTGTTGCCTGAGAAACCTTCATCACTAAGGGTAAAAACAAACATCGTTGGTAATGGGAGCGCAGTGTAATGCTTCTCGATCAACCAGAAAACTTGTAACCTGTGGAATCAAAAAAGGAAACGGAACCAGTACTAAGATTATTTTTAAAAGGCAAGAATCAGTTCTAACTCTAACTTGCATGATTATCTAAAGGATTCTAATTTATGCCTTCAAAATTATTATCTCTTTTGTATTTGAAGTAATGAGCAAAACAAAATTTAGACTCCTGTCTGTAATGTTTATACATAGAACTTATTATGGTTAAACTTTTTAACCCAATCATAGGAAGCTGATGGGGAAATTTGATGGTACCATTACATTTTTTATATGAACTATTGTGCAGAATTCAGAGAACCCTATCTTTCCTACTGTCTTTTTCTTTGACTATGAAGGAAATTTGTAACAATTAGCATGATCTGTTGAAAGGGTTTATGACACAGCATTCATTATTTTCTCTTGACAAATAGGAAAAAATTTTCAGACATTGCTTATAATAGATGTGCTTTATTTAACCCACCAAATTCTCTCTTCCCCTTTCTTCAAACACCTCTTACCCTTAACTTTTGAAGCTGACATTAATTTGTGTGGGGAGCACAAACGAAGGGGATCAGTGCACTTTTTCTCACTGTCCTCACCGTAGAGCCCAGCACCACGAGCAGTCTTGTTCCAAATTGGTTTGGGTTTGTTTCCAAAGGAGAAAAATCACCTCTAACATTTACCACAGAAAAGGCTGTCTTCATGGGGTTCAAATGAGTGTGTGCTATCTCCAGTTCAAGGTCAGAGATACTTGGAATCAAGGTGTGGCTAAGGCTACTTTGGGAGGCATTTTAAAGACAGTCTAAAAACCATGGTGGTTTTCCCTCATTTTTACCTCTTTGTAGAATTCTTGCACTTGATTGTCCCACCAGCTCCCCAGAAATGTGTACCATCCTCCAGTTTGCGTTTCAACCTAGAACCAGATCCTTTCTGTGGCTGAGTCAGGCTTAGATTTTCAGAAGGAAACATATTAAATATTCAGAAGAAAAGAATGTATTTGGTAAAAAAGCAGTAACATTTCCAAGATACAGTACCTGCTCCCATATCCTTGTAGGAATGGCAAAAGCCTCTGCTGAGCCCCCAGCCCCTGTGCTGGGCTCCTTCCCTCTTGCCTGTCTAAGCCTTGCTGTGTGGCCTCTGCACCTCCAGGCTCCCTGGCCCTAAGAACAGGCTTCATTTTTGCCCCACCCAGGGAGAAATGAGAGCCTGTCAGAGTATAAAATGTATTCATACTCTGCCTTTGTATAGAAAAGACTTAAAGGAGCAACACAAAGTATATTTGTACATTGGAGAAATCTTTGTTCATCAAAATGTTCTTAAATCTCTTAAATCTGAAGGGCTTAGGAGAGAGGGTATGTGTGTGGAGCTATCCCCTTAGAGCCATCCATATGCTTAAAGTCATTCTGGTGAACATTTTTATCTCTTGTATAACATCCATTAAGATGTGAGTAGCACAAATTCTTTACAAAAAATTGTCATTTTTAATTTCTAATCATGGTTGCATTTAAGAACTGAAGATACTAAACATGGAAAAGTAAGCAGTAACTACATAGGTAACAAAAAGCAGTGTGCTTGCTAAGGAAAAATTGATTTTGCCAGTTCTAATGAAATTAGGTTAACATAGAACAGAAAACAACTTAGAAATCTTGAGTAATTTGAATTTTCAAGTTACTTTCCCTGGGAGCTGATATTTTTAAGCTTCATCTGTGTAACAAGTTCTGTATAATTAGTTTTTATTTAATAGCTTATTTTTCTAAGTGATGTACTTGGAAAACCTATTGTTGTTCGTGCATATAGTAATTCTCACCTTGTCTCACCTGCCTTTTTTGTTTTGCCACCAAAAGAAACATTTGCTTCTAAAACTGCTGCTTCTTAGAATTATATTTATCTTAACACAGTAGCTACTTGATGACATCATGGTAAGTGGAAAATAGCCATGGGCATTAATCTCCATACCCTGTGGGCATTTTTAGCAATTTTAGTGAAGAGAGCTGAATTTAAAAATAGACTTCCGCTCACTAATTGACATTTGTTAAAGCTTTCCATCAACTCACTGTCTCTTAAGCATTGGATTTTCCTCTCAGTTCAATAGAAAGCCTGGCACAAATGTTAGTTTGCGTTCCCCCTGCCAACTCTCCGTTAGATGATATATTAACCTAACCTAATTTCCATACACCTCAGAATCCAGAGGAGGAGAAATATGTTCATTCTCATAATGTTGACTGTTACCCCTTAAAATGCAAAACCTGATCGAGTTTATTATTTCCTAGAAGTAAATGGCCATTCTAAGGGCCCTCTTCCTCTAGGATTGACTTCTTGGCGTGGACATCCCCTTGCAGTGATCTCTGGGGGTTTTTCTTTAGAATGCGAGACCTAGTCCGGCTTTAGAATGGCAAGAATTGTGTTCTGATCTTTTGCTTTTAGAATATGGCAAGTGCCCGCCAAGCATCCACTGGAATTTGGAGGAAACCTTTGGCTTGAACTTGTAAAGCAGAATAGCATCCTGCATTTAGCGCTGTCTGAAACACATTCCAGATACCATCAATAAATCTGTAAATAATGGAATTTCAGAACACTCATGAAGTTCTATGGGCAAGGCTCCTTGGGGTGTCTGCACCAACGCAGGGAACTCGCTGAGTTTGCTGAGGGCCCTTGGTGTTCCCCAAACACTGAGGATTAAGTGAAAACTTAAGGTGGGCCTGATTTAGAGCCCTCCAGGTCCCCTTCCCCATTTACTTCCTGACTAAAGAAGAATTGGTCATTTCTCAGGATTGGATGTTCTCAAAAAAGAGAATCTTCTGTCGCCCACAGCAGTGCCTCATTTCTTCCTCGATAACTCCTAACGCTGCAGCGGTGTCTGGTGTGAGCTAGTAGCAGGGGTGTGGCAGTGATTAGTCGGAGTGCCAGGTGTGAATCCCAGCTTTGCCATTTTCTAGTTCTGTGGTTGTGGGCAAGTTACCCCTGCCTGGGTCTTGTCTGAAAAATGAGGTCATAACACCTACTTGCAGTGATGTCATGGGGACCAGAGGGAATAATACCTGTAGAATGTCTTAGGCCTGCATCGAAAAGAGTTCTTAACTGCTAATGTTTTAACAATTCAAGAACATACTATTGGCCAGAGTGATAAGTGCTTATTCATAGTAAACATTCAGCGAACGTCTATTAAATAGTGAGTGAGTGAAAGCAATTGTTCTCCAAAGATAACAGCAGCTTACATTTCTTGCTTTTGTTTATATTGCCTTGTTGAGGACTGAGTGAAGAAATAAAGTGGAGTTGCTAAAGTCAGGCTGCTAAGTTACTAAAATCAAGTAGTCTGAGGCAGAGGAAACAATCTCTTGCTTTAACCAGCCTGGGAACTTAAACTTTTGAACCCCCCAGTATCCCTGGAGATACAAACATATAGGTCCTATAGATAACCCTCTGGTTACCCCCTAAAGGACTTAGGAAAGAATGCTCAGGTCCAGAGCACCAGTCATCTAGGATCAGCATCTTGGACCAATCCAGAGGCTAAGAATGCAGGACTGATTCTTCTTAAGAGCATACTTTTTACTATAAGAACTTTCAGTGTTTCTTCTTTAGAACATTCTGGATATTACCTAGTTATGTTTATGATTTGCAAACCCTAAGAGCCTTGAATAAATCTTTATCATTAATTTCTAGCCAAAGCCTCCTGACTTTTGTGCTCAGTTGGGAGGGCTGATACCGATATTGCTGCAGTTAACATTCTTGCATGTGCTTTTTCATGCACACACGTACACAGTTCTTTGGGGGTTTTATGTAGACATGAACCTGTTGGGGGCGTTTGCTCAACTTTTTAGGATATATTTGGTCAGTTGAATACCCTGCACACAGTGTGTGAGAGCTCCAGTTTATATCTTCGAAGACCCAACACTTTATTACTGGTGTTTAATTTTCAGACATTTTGGCGATGTGTAATGATCTTGTGAATTATTGGCCTAAATATGAAAAGTACAGCAATAGAGCTTCCGGAAAATAACAGGCGAATGTATTCATGACCTTGGGCCTGGCAAAGATTTTTAAACAGGACGCAAAGACACAATAAATTGTACTACATTAAAATCACGAACTTTTGTTCATTAAGACACAATTAGGATGGTGAAAAGGGAAGTCAGAAGATATAAATTTATAATACAATTACCCAACGAAAGAATTCTATCCAACATATCTATCCAAATGTATTAAAAATTACAGGTCAATTAAAAGAAAGACAACTGAATTGATCAGGCACCTCCTAAAAGAAGATACCCAAATGGCCAATAAGCATATGAAAAGGTGCTCAACTAACGTCATCAAGGAGAAGCAAACTGAAAACATGAGAGTCCATTTTTTAATGGGAAGAAAATGTCAAGAAGCAGAATCCCCCGCTGGAAGGCTGAACCGCCCGCTATCGATGAATCCCCGATGAATCCCCGTCGATAGAAGGCTCCTATCGATGTGGTCTGCCGCCTCTGCCATCCTGGCCTCCCACCTGGTCCTGCCCTGCAGCTCAGAGCTAGACCTTCTGGAGAGGAATTGTTCTGCTAATCACCTATAATTCCTGGAATTTACTCAGCGCCTGCCTTCTGAGGAGCTCAAAAGCCATTTGTAGATCCTGCTGATAAAATGGCTGCCCCAAGGTCAGGTAAGCTCTCTGCCAAATTACTTCTGGGCTAAGAGGCAGTCCTCAAAACTCGATGGAGACCCGGGGGGCCTTGACAGCAGGCTCTGCGCAGCTGGAGCCCTGGGGGGGAAGACCATGCATCCAAGCATTATGGGATTATCCGGGCGGGGCGGGCTGAGTGCGGTTATAGGTGTGAGCCGATGCACCCACAGGCACAGCCACACGCCAGGCTGCCACTCACATCTGAGCGGAGGGGAACTGAGGCAAGACTGGGCAAGTCGGGCAGGCCGGCAGCAGAAAAGACGGGAGTGCGTTTTGATTGGGGGATCAGTGGGGCAAACAGATGGGGAGAAGCCCAGGGCCCAAAGGAAGTTAAGATTTAGCTGAGTATTTTCCTGTTTTCAGCAAGGGGTCCCTTGGCTCCCTTCCCAAATGTGTCTTCCCAAGCTACCCACCATTGAGACAAGCCCCGTGTGGGCACAGCCTAGGTCACTTCTCTGGGGAGTCCATCCCTTCCCTGGGCCTGCAGGAAGATCAGGGGATGGGTGCTGGGAACTGGCCTCCTACCCCCATCTCTGCAACCTCTAACCCAGCTGACTCACTGCCCTTCCGTTACTTAGCCCTTTGATGCCGTGTTTGGGGCAGTAGAGATGGACAGAGCCAGGATGCAGGGAGTGACCAGCCCCCGGGAGTTTGGGTGGGGAAGGTGGGTGAGGCAAGGTGGGTTAAGATAACTGAAGTGCTTCCTATCTCTGGCCACTGCCTCGCCTGTGCTTGGGCCAATTCCTTGTAGCTCCACACCCACCATAGCTCTGGGACTAAGGATTCGATGGTGGACAGAGCCTGGCAGTGGGTGTGGGAACCATGGGCACAGGGGGGTGGGCCTGGGGGCAGGGTTGCTGCTGACTTTCCGTTTGTACCTCTGATGGCTCAGGTCCTGGACATCCAGGTCAGGCTGGGTCCCCCATGTCTGGCATGGAGGAAATGTGTGTGGATGCTGCTTGCACCGGCTCCATGGGGCAGGGCAAGGGCAGGTGGAGGAGGCATTTAGGAAGGGGTGAACATTTTTATAGCGAATCGGGAAAAGGAAGTAGCCCTTTGTGCACACAGATTTCCCTCCTCCCTGCTAATGACCAAGAGGCTCCCTGTAATAAGAGAACAACCCACTTCCCACCTTGCCTAGTATCTCCTGTGAAACTGCCTCCGCTGGTTCCAGCTTACTGAACCACCAGGGGGTGGGCACCTGTCACAAACAGACCCCCAGCCCCAACCCAGACCCCCCGAAACAGAAGCGACAGGGAAACGACCTAGAAATGTTCGTCTCTGCTAAGCCCCTCTAGCAGAGCCCGGCTGGCTGCCTCATTGTCTTTGGGTTGATTTGGATAGGAGATTGAGGGTCACTAGCTAAGCCTGGAGCTGAATAAATCTTGTCATTTACTGTCCCCTCTCCACAGGGAGCTGTCAGCTGGGGCAAGACCTCCCCAGCACCCCAGACAGTTCAGCTGTGAGCCTCCAGTTTGCTGAGTCACTGGGGAAGGAGCGACGGCTGATTATTGGTTGGGTCCCACTGCATCACAGCTCGCCTCCCCACCCCTCAGGGAGACAAGATTTGCCATCAACCTCCCCCCAGTCCCCACTCCTCCCAGGGCCAAGAGAACCATGGTTTTGTGGTGTCACACTTAGCCTTCCTTAGCTAGACCTGCCATTGCCCCAGAGCTGGCAAAGCCTCCCCAATCAACTAAAGAATAAAAGGTGAGGCCACAGGGCCTTTTTCTAGAACAGACCTGGCCACCTACCAACCCAGACTCTGGCAGGGCACAGAACCACAAACTGCAGGGCCTCCCTCCTTGGCACACACAAGGTCACCAGTTAGCAAGCTGCGCTGGGCTGACCACGCCTGCAATGATGGTCAATACTTAGCCCAAGCTGCGGGGCTCCTGGGACAGGGGCTTGGGCTCCCAGCTGAGGATTGAAGAGGCTGAGGTCAGAGTCGATGGTCCTTTCAGGCCTTACCTGGTCCATGTGAAGCCGCCTTCACCTGCACCCTTTCCACTCTACGCAGAGGGATGAGAGGAGCAGCTGAGCTGGGCTAGCACTGGGACCATTCTGGGCTCTTTGATGCATGTGGTGACAGTTCTAGAAGTTGTACCATCCAATCCTTAGTCCCATAGGTATGGTTAGTGTGGAGCTACAAGGAATTGGCCCAAGCACAGGTAAGGCAGTGGCCAGAGATAGTAAGCACTTCAGTTTTCTCTGGGAAAACTGCCACCACAACCATTCCCCTCCCGGCTTCCAGCTGCGCCTTGGGGGTCCCCTTTGATTACTGCAGGAGCCCTGGGTCCCACTGTGCCTCCAGCTCCTGTCATTTAGGACAGCTATTATAACAGAATGGATGGGTACCTGCAGGGGCTAGGTAGTGATAAATGGGCAGAGGCCAAGCTCGGCCATTGGCAGTATTTAATTTACATTCATTTTCAGAATCATGGAATCCCTAAAGAAACTCTAGGGAGAAAAAGTCACTAAGGTTGTCCCACAGCAGTGACAAGAGTGCACTGGGCTGAATACTGTGCTTGCACAGAGGCTCTCGGAGGGGAGAAAGGACCCCAAGTCCGCTCCCTCTCTACCCTGATCTGATACATGCTGCAGAAGCCAAGGCCTCTGCTTCTCCCACTCAGGGAGCGTGGTTCCTAGGCATGGGGTCGGGGTCAGGGCTCTGGGCCAGCCCACAACCCCCTGCACCCAACTCCACCTCCTGTGCCTCCCAGGGTCCACTGCTGGCTTTAATTCTGAGAACATTCTTTACTCCTGAGGGGGGTCAGAGTTGAGCCTTTTAGTGATGCTTTCATTTGAACCCCAAAAGGCTCTGGAACTAGGCGGCAGCCTGGGGAACATGCTGGGAAAGGGCCCGTCTGCTCACTGCCTGGCGAGCCTCCGCTCCCTTTCCAGAACTGGTATGAGTGAGCTGGTTTGGTGGTTTTCAGGGGTCTGAGCGGACGTCCTTGCCATGGCTGACTTGGTGGCAATCTCAGTCTCTCTGCCCGGCTGGTCTGACCACCCGCCGCAGCGCTTGGCCACGTGCGAAGCCCTCACAGCTCTCGGCTCAGACTGATTCCACGCACTCGCCTGAGGCTGCTTGTCTGGCCTGTTTCAGTTTGAAGTCCCCAGGCCCGGATCAGGGTTGCTCACTTGCTCTGGGGCTGCTTGTCTTGCCATCTTACGTGGGCTTCACTTGAGCACAACACCCTTCCCCACCACCATTATGAAGGCACCCATTTTGCTGCAGGAAACAGTGGTTTCCCGCACCCCCAGCGGCTCAGAAGCTGAGGCCACAGGCAGCCTGCCCACAAGGGGAGCCTGTGCAAACTGACGCTGGAGCCTGGAAGCCTCCCTCCCAGGCTCTCAGAGTCATCAGGTCAACCATCCCCATAAACCAGGTGTGGCGATCACATGCCTGACACACCCAAACTTGGGGAACTCAAGGGCCTTGAGGCAGCTCACCCCAGTTCTGACTGTCAGAAATTTCCCCCTCTGCTATATATAAACCATTTCCTGAAACGCCCCCACTAGGGCCCCATAAGAGTCCCAGGAGAGCCCTTCGGAAATGGTCACGTCCTTCATCTCGTTCTTCCCCTGTCGTGGTTTTGATTCCCCTTACCACGTGGGTTTCCGTCCTCTGCATGGGCTCCAGTTGATCCATTCCTCTATCCTCAAGGCCAGAACTGGGGGTCAGAGCCAGGGATTAATGGCACAGAGTAAGCTTCCAAAGCCACGGGGGCCATTGGAAGGCCTGAGCTTAAAGATAATTTCCCTTCTCTGCAAAGGGCAGGCATTTAGTCCAAATGGGCAGAGCCAGGAGAGAGGCCAGCAGGGGCCAGGGAGCAGCCACAGCCCAGATGGCCACCCCAGAAGAGAGAGCGACTATCCCCAGGCTGAGATGCCAGGCGGCCACTGATCTCTTCTAGAGGTAAGACGGGGGCCGCTGGGAGCCTTGCAGGGGCTTCCTCAAGGCTTGGAGGGAAAGCAGCCTGGTCCCGGGCT